AAATATTTTTCTTTGTAAGAGTTTTGTGATTATGGTGTCTCTTCACAGCAATATAACCCTAAGACAGGTAGGAAGCAGAGAGATGGGTTTTAGACTTTAGTCAGCCTGGGCTGGTTTGCCAGCCCAGCAAAGGTTATCTTGGATTCTGAATCCGTAGTATCTAGACTCAGACTGCTCCGGTGTGCATCCTTTCTGTTGGATTTGTCTATCAGTAAAATGGGCTAATAATAGAATGATTAGGATTAGGGCTGTTGTGAGGGTGGGGGAAATGCCAGAATATAATTCATGATAAGCACTCAATAAATACTAGGTACTATTAATATTTCTAGTATCAACATCATCACTCCCACCTTAGGTAACCTTTTCTGAATCTCGTTTTCCTTGTAAAATCAAGCTGGAGCTATCTGACTCCAAAGGTTCTTTGGACATGATGGATGAACCATACAGTTCAGCTCCCAGCCATTCTCCGATCAGGATTCCTGAGCTGCAGGTGTGTGACCTGTGTCACAGATGGAGGTCTGTGTACACATACCTGTCCCTACCTCTGCTCAGGCCTGGATTCACACTGGATGCTTGACGGCCACAGCCATTTAAGCAAATCTAAATGTCATTGTTCAGAACCATACCCTTACCTTATAATGGGGTTCCGGGTCCGGACAAGCTCATTAGAGCAGGCCATGCATAAAGTTATTTTGAATAACATATTCCATCCACAACATGGGTAAACTCCTTCTCCTTTGTGATTGACCTAGGGTAGTCTTCAGCAGTTAGGTCTAGCTTTAACTGATGTTCCTTGTGGCTGAAGTCACCACCATTTTTTTTAAAAGCTAGTCATGAGATATAGCATCCCACTTCTTCGTTCATCTTCTATTGATCTAAGCTAATCACTTAATTAGCCCAGACAAGAAGCCTTCTGTGCTGTTAAATAACTCTAAAACTCTACTGGGATGCTTGCTCGAGTGGCATGATTGCATTTAACTTGCAACTCATTATCACCCGGACCTGAATTCTGTACTGAAAAGATTCGACTTGTTTTGGTGGGCGGGAATCCATTCACATTGGTGGGTTTCAAACTATAGGTTCTGACCTACCAGAACCAGCATGAAAAAGAGGTGTGGCTATCTCTGGTCTGGCACTGTACATGGAAAGCTAAAGGGAAGGCTTGCTATCAGGCCTTTGTTTGACAGGCTTAGTACCAGGTGTGTGCTTTGTTGCCGTCTGCATTTGCTTGCTCTCTGTTGCTATGATAAAATACTAACTAAAATCATCTTGGGGAAGAAAGGGTTTATTTCCTCTTACACCTTCAGGTCATGATCTATCACTGAGAGAAGCAAAGGCAGGAGCTTCAAGTAGAAACTGATGCAGGGAAATGGAGCAATGTTGTTTACCGGCTTGCTTCTAGGCTCATGTTCAGCCACCTTTCTTATACAGCCCAGGACCACCCACTTAGGAATGGTACTGTCTACAGTGCGTGGGCTCCCCTATATCAATTCAAAATCAAGAAAATACCCACAGGTCTATGTAATAGAGTCTTAAATTGGGGTTCCTTCTTCCCAGTTATGTCATGTTCACAACCAAGATCAGCCACCTCAAGATCCACCTTGTTTTGTAAAATAGGGTCTTTCTCTGGGACCTGGGGCTTGTTAATTAAGCCTAGCTGACTAGCAGGTGAGTCCCAGGGAACTATCTGCTGGTCTCTGTCTCCTCAGGGTAGGCATCACAAGTAGGTACTAACATGCCCAGCTTTTTAATGTAGATTCTGGGACTGAAGCTCGAATACTTTAGCAGCTGAGCCATCCCTCCAACCCCAACCTCAGTACTGACAAGCACCTTTGGTGATGCAGACTGAGGCTGAAGTATGAGAATCATGACGTACAGGATGCATCTCCAGCTCACACTCCTGTTTGTGTGATATAGCTTTCTGGCAAAGAGAAGAAAATGAGCAAAGACAGGGAGAGAGGAAAAAAATAGAAGACAGGAAGGAAAATCATATAGAGACTAAACGCCCGGAGTTCTCTGTATGCTTATTGAGCCTGGCCAATGGGGACAGTGAAGGGTTCTCCCATGGGACATGTACAGTGTCCCCTTCTCCCCCATCCTCAGAAGCAGCTTAGCTTCTGGAAAAGAGGAAATCGTGTCAAGAGGACCATGCATTATAATCATGTAATTAAAGCAAGCCACAACTTTCTAAGCCCCAGCTTCCTTGTCTATAAAAAGAGAATAGTAGTTTTTTGCGGATGGGTTTGCACCTCATCACTTGGGGCGTCTGGTAGATTCTGAAAATGCTTTAAAGAAGAGAGAAAGGAAAAAGACTGGTTGTTGCTTGTGAAGCTTTTTGAACTAATGTTTTGACAATTTCTAGCATAATTCCTGTCATGAGGATGCTCTGAAAGCAGTGTTTATCTTATGTCAAGGAGGAAGGCATGGTGTGATGGACAAGAACAGATTCCAACACATCTCCCAAATGCAGGCTCTTCATTCCTACTGAAGCTAGGTTTGA